AATTTTTAAGGCTTCCTCTTTCATGTCCCTCCCATTTCAAACTCCAAGGTCCAGATTAAATTAATTTTGCATAGAATTATCTTAATTCTTGCTTGTTTATAGATAGAGGTGGAGACGCCACCCCTCCTTTCTATCAGGAGTGATTTTTTTTACTACTCCTGTCGCAAAAAAAGAAGCCCTTCCCTTTAAGGATTGTTGAAAGGCAGAGCTTTCCCCTCCTGAATTCAAAACTCCTAGAATCAGTTTATTGTTTCCAGGAAAATAAGGTGGCCGTCTCAGCTTCTTAATGGCTCATTGGTAAAGGTGGGGGCTGAAACTCTGCCTGAGTTTCTGCTTATTTTCTTTAGGGGAATTTCCCTGCTCTTTCAATATTGAGCTTCTCAAATCTTCCAACACTCCCTTCACTAATTAAGTGTATTCAAATGCTTTGTTCACTTAATCTGATCTCTGTCAACCAAAAACACCACTTCTCTTCTTTGGATCGGGTAATCTTTAACGCTTTCTTCTCTGCCCATATCACTACTTCTTCCCACTTCCACATTCTTTTCTTCCTTCCCCGTCCAAAGGTTATACAACATCCATAACCTACCAAAAACACATCACATACCTTCTCCCTTCTCTAACTCCTTCTTCTTATCAATTCTCCTACCGCTGTCATCCTGGCTTCCAAGTAGTGCCTCAAGCTTCAAAGAAATTCAAAGCTTGATTTCACAAGCCTGTGCAAACCAACTTACCTAAATGTCTTCTCTTATCTGCTACCACTTTCTCTTCCCATCTATAAACAAATTAACCCCTTCTCAGCACCAATATCTGATCGTCCTTCTAAATCTCCCTGTAAACTGAGCTGGATTCAAACAAAAACAAGCATACTCTCAATCAAGATCACCCTCACTTGAGGAGGGGCACTAGGGCTCCTTCAAAAGTCAACTCTCTGCTTTCCTTCATTAACACTGCCATAGCTGCCACTGCTTGAACACAAACTGGAAATCCTTAACAGGCAGAATCTAACATTTTAGACAAGAATGCCACTGACTCTTTCTTACTACATATTGTAATTTCTAACTCATCTCTGTAACAATTCCTAAAAGGGCAGCAACTTGTGCTGCTAACAAACAAACAAGCAAACAAACAAACAAATAAATAAACTGCATTCCGAGCCAAAAACAGTGAAACTGCAAAGGCAGGTATCAGATATCACCCTTTACCCCGCCTTTCTCATGTTCATTCAGCAGAGAAAAATGCTGCCCGCAGCCCACCCTTTTCCTGCTTCTCTCTTCCAAAGGAAGGGGGGGAAAGGAAATACAGGGAGAAAAAATGTTTAAACTACATAGAATTCTCATCTCCTTTCGCCTCTCAGCATCCTTTCAACAACACAACCCTCTGCATTCCTCTAATTTCTCACATTATCAACACACAGGCATTCACATTTGTACTGCAATCAGACTTCTTGTATAAACCAATTTCACATACAAAAAATCCCACTTCATGCAAACCAACCACCACAATCATCTCAAACATCTCCCACAGCCTCAAGCACAAGTCTACTCACTTTGCTGGCCAGCCACACATATCACAATCAATTCAATTCCATTCAATTTTACATACTATCATATTTTTTTTTAACAGAAATCACACCAAATTGATCAAGTCAAATTATCTGCGTCTTCCCATTTAGACAGGCTTTACCTTTTTACTGCCTGCTAAACCCCGGGTGGGAAGAACAGTAAACAATTTCTTCTTTATTCTTAGTTCTTTCAGAGTTCTCTGGCTTTTTAAGAATGTCAATTTATAACACTGCAATTAGTTCTTTTCTCTTACCAGAATAGGGAGGAGGTCGGTTTATTTCTTCCTCATCTTCCTGACTAAAAACCTTAGTTTTAACCTTTTGTTTGGTGTTTTTAGTTTGTTCTTTCATCATACATACTCTCACACATTCCAACTGACACTTTTTAAGCCACTTGGGTTTTGCCTTTTAAATGATCTGCCACTGATCTATGTATGGGAACTGTTCCCAACGACCCTCTTGTGTGATGATCCTGTGCACCTTTGAGATTATTATGGGATCTAACGTTCCTTCTTCTGGCCACATTACGCCCAATGCTGGCCAAACACAAAACTGTTTCATCAAGATCACACTGAGGACCGCCATATTTCTAAGGCAGATTGAAAGTGGGCTAACATACATTGTAACGGCGTCCGCTGGACGCTGTTTTTCCCACCCATATTTCTAACAACACTACCAGCGACCTGGGGTGCTGGAACTCACAGTCATCGTCAGGAAATGCGCTGATTTAACCAATCCCACACAGCCTAACTTGGAGAATTAAGAGGTGCCACTTTTTTCTCCTAGGAGATTGATCAGATCCCCTCTCTGTCTCAAAAATAGACAGGCCCTTTCTTTTCCCCATTTAAATGTATACTCGCCTGGCATGCGTTGTCTCTGGCCATCCACGGAGATTGCTGAGTCTGGTCTACCCCCTTGTGGGTCCTTGGCTGAGCTGCGTCTCCAGCGAGCATACGGCAATCCCCCAGCGAAGAATTCTGTTGACTTCAATGGAGTCTGGAATGCCGGCTGGTGAATCCTCGCTGGGAAAGGGTCGTTTCTCGCCAGGACAGCACGCCTAGGTAGAAAAAGTCTCTGCCTCTCAAAGTTCCAACTGCCGGGTGCCAAAATTGTTATGGAAGGAAGGAATTAAGAGACATCCCTTGGGGCAGACAGAGTCAGTTTATTATTGCAATAAGGTTCAGATAGGTATTGCTACCTCAAGATCTGAGCAAAGTAATGAATATGAGATTCCAGTTTTATACAGTTTCAAACAAAGGATTCTGTTAACTCAGCAATTCATATGATCATATACATTTGTTATATTTAATTGACATTTCCTAATTATTAAGTTTTACATTTTCTTTGCCAACAGTCATAATTCTTCTTGTAAATTACTGAAGCATAGATTCAAATTATCTCTTGTTGATATTACATGTGGTCATCCTTTGATCTGTTTTAACCTTCAAACAAATATCTCTATCTCTGACAACTGAGGGGCCCCTCTTGTGAATGTTTCTATTTCAAAGGAATTCTCTGCCTTTCAACTGGATAATTGGCTTCCCTTAAACAAGCACATTTCCTTTCCTACAATACTATGAATAAAGAGGGCCCTTCACTGATCATCCAGCTGGACCCGCATTTACCTACATTAACTCCAGCTGGGGATCGCTGCAAACTCTTGGGCCTCTTTGCTTACTTAATAATTGCAGAGGTAATTTAATGGTACAAAAGAAACCGTAAACCCAATCTTTGTTTACTTAACAACCTGTCTGATTTGCTTAACAAGCACAATTGGAAATATAAAAAAATGAGTCTGATTCGTTTTACAACAGTTTTGATTTGCGACCCCAGTGGACACGCTCCTTTAGGGAAATACCTTGAGGACTACCCATACCAGGTGGTTTATTATTGTTGGATTGTATTGTGTTCCTGATCTCACAGGTAGAGCATTGATTAGGTTGAAAAGCAGTATCAAGATGTCTCATACTCATCTATGGGGGTGTCGGGTGTCACACATACATCTAATAGTTACTAAAAGTTTTGATCATGTTTCTCTTGTGCATATGTTGTCCTATTTGCATGTTCTTTATAATGTGTTAAGAATAAAATCTCAGCATTTGTCATGCAGGCATTCCTGAATGTTATAGGGTGATCCCAAGTCCCCATTGATTCTCTTGCTTTTAAGGACAGTATTGTTAATATCAGCCTGCATTCACAATATTGCAGTCTGTCAGCCTTATCCAGAAATCCATCCTTACTCAAAATGTGGGATGTCCTGAGATCATGGCAGATAACATGAGCAACTTTCCTCTTTATTCATGAAAGGACATTTTAGAATCCTTTTAAATAAAAATAGAATTGGAGCAGGAAAGAGAGGAAGAAACTGGGAACTAGAGCTGCAAGCATTGGGCTAAATTGGAAACTGGAATTTGAAACTTAAATTTTGAATTTGCCTGGAATCAGGCATGTCAAATTAATTGAGACAAAGAGAATAACTGTTTAATGGGAATTTTAATATTATTTTACTAAGTCTAGACATGAACCTATGTGATATTCGTGAATGTTCAAGGTTCTACTGCAATTTCCTTTTATAATGTATGAAACTGGATGCTGAATTCCTACTTCGGGTTCTATTCCAGAATTTTTTTTTTCTTTATGGAAATCATATATTAATGTATTTGAAACTATTTATTATTAGAGACTGGGGCAGAGTTCTCTTATTTGTAGATTAGCACCATCCTGTGGCCTCTTCCAGTTTTGCATTTTGGATATTTAAAGTGTAAGTTTTTTTCCAGCTTCTTTTGTCTTTCTTGCCTAATAAACTTTAGGGTTTTTTTTTAAATCTCTGACAAGACTGATCTATCCTCCAAGGAGGAAAAAATAGGCTGAAAGGTCTGGTGATCTGCCTGTACAATATAAGAAAAAGGGGCTAATATTTTTTAAAAGTATGTTCGTTTTTATTTATACCTTTTTAATCTCCAGAAAGGCAACACATTGAGCGTCAGCTCTTTCAAACGGCAGGGGGAAGTGGAAGACGCGAGTAGAGGCAGATGAAGTGGTGGCACTGGGATCCATCAAGCTGCTAACTAAGCAGGAAGCAGCATGGGATGTGAAGACACGAGGACTTAGGGGTGTGTGTGCAGGAGGGACGTATTACAGATTTCCAGCTCTCTATTTTTAAAGCTCAGCAATTGCCTTTAGGAAGTTATTATGCCGATTTCCTTCTTGCTTTATATAGCTGGGTGGAAGTCGTCTATATTAGCCTTGCTCCGCTCTTCAAGAAAAGCAGTCTGTATATATTAAGAAGAAGAAAAAAGCAGACAGGAGATTTTCAGCTCCCTCCACATTCCCCAGTAATACGAAGTCTTCGTCAGACCAACGAAACGGCCGAAAGCCAAGACAAAAGATACACCAGCCTTTTCGCCGTGACGCAATGCTACGTACAGGAGGGGGTGGAGCTCCCGCCAAATTTGAACGGCGTATTCCGTTTGCGATGGTAGCGGGAGATTATTGAAAGTTTCCTCCCTCCGCTCGACCGTCGTCTGCGTTTTCATGAGCGTAGCTATCTCTGGGGCAGGAAGAGACCGCTGCCTCCATGTAAGAGCAACTCCGGCAGGGCCAGGCTTCCGTGACTTGCGAAAAGGGTAGAGAACAGCTTTCGGGCTTCGAATGGGCTCCATCGTCTTCAAATGCCTTGAAGACGATGGCTGCATTTTCTTAAACTTGCTTGGGAGCGCCCGGCTTGCGGGGTGGGGGATTAGAAGAATTCCTGAATCTTGGGTGGTGGGAGGGGTGGGGTGGGGTGGGGGTGGTAGCGTTTGGCATCGGGAGAGGCAGTAGGGCTTCTAAGAGATGTTGCGAGGGGGTCATTTGGTGGATAATGGAAGGTAAAGAAGTAGCTCTTTTATGTAAACTCAAAATATACATTTTCTTTCGATAACCCTACCCCGTAACTGTTGTTATTTACTTATGATTTAGTCTCCGGGCGTTTAAATATTGCTCTTCTTTGCACTTTTTCCAAAGTCTCAACATCTTTGTTGTAATGTGACCAAAACTTGATGCAGTATTCCAGGTGTGGCCTTACTAAGGATTTATAAAGCGGAACTACCAGTAATATTTCACATGATTTTGATTCTGTGCCTCTGTTTATACAACCAAGGATTGTATTAGCTTTTTGGCTGCTGCTGCTGCACACTACTGGCTCATATTTAAATGATTGTCCACTAGGATTCCAAGGTCCCTCTCACAGTTACTGTTTTTGAGCCAGGTTTAACTTAATCTGTGTTTATGCCTTTGTTTTTCCTGTCTAAGAGTAACACTTTGCTTTTCTCCATATTAAATTTCATTTTGTTGTATAGGGCCTGTTGTTCAAGTCTGTCAAAATCTTTTTGGATTCTGAGCTTGTCTTCTGGGGTGTTGGCTATTTCTGCCAGCTTAGTATCATCTGCAAATTTGATGAGTTCCCCTTCTATTCCCTCATCTAAGTCATTTATGAAGATATTGAAGAGTGCTGGGGCTAAGACCAAACTTTGTGATATCCCACTGCTTACTTTTCTCCTTGTAGATGTAGTACCATTAAGGACTACTCACTGAGTATGGTTTGTTAGCTAGTTACAAATCCATCTGGTGGTGATGCTGTCTATACCACATTTTTCTAGCTTTCCAAGAAGTAGGTTGTGGTCTACTTTGTCAAACACCTTGCTGAAGTCTAAATATACTATTGTATGTCCACAACATTTTGCTGATCTACTAAATTAGTCACTTTGTCAAACAATGAAATAAGATTAGTTTGGCATGATCGGTTTTTAGCAAACCCATGCTGACTTTTAGTTATAACTTTGTTTCTAGATGTTTGCAGATTTGTTTTTTGATTATTGTTTCCAGTATTTTCCCAGGTATTGATGTTAGACTAATTGGTCAATAGTTTCCTGGGTCTTTTTTTTTTTTTTTTTTAAGATGAGAACCACATCAGCTGTTTTCCAATCTTCAGGTAATTCCCCAGTGTTCCAGGATTTTTGAAAGATAGGATACAATGGTTCTGAGATAACATCTGCCAGCTTCTTCAGAACTCTCGGATGTAATCCATCAGGTCTCGGTGATTTATATTTGTCAAGATTCGATATGTGTTTAACCATTTTCTTGCTTATTTTAATTTTTATTTCTAATCTGTCTTTTATGGTTAGGTTTTTGGTAGGTTGGGCTATAGTTTTGTGTGAAGACTGAAGCAAAGAAGAGCTTAAGCAGTTCTACTTTCTCTCTGCTCCCTGTTACTTCCTTGCCATCTTCTCTTAAGTGGACTGACTGTTTCCTTGACTTTCTTGTTATTTATATGTTGAAAGAAACTTTTTTAAAAATTATCTTTGACTTTTCTTGCAAGTCTTTGTTCATTCTGAACCTATGCTTTCCTTACTTCTTTGCAGATTCTGGCTATCTGCTGATACTCTGCCTTAGTTATCTGTCCCGCTTTCCATTTTTTGTACTTGTCCCTTTTGTCTTTCAGGCAAGATTGGCCAAGTGTTGCTACATGAAGAATTTGTTTATGCTATTTTTCCATTTACATAATATTTGTATTTTTTGCAGGATGGATAATTGTACTTTTCCAAGATACAGTGACAATGACATTGTGGTACACATTCGCAACTGTTTATTAAGTGGAAATGAGGCTAAATTTTTTTCAAAAAGTGATTTATTTCCAAATGTAAAGGTAAGAGTTTTTATATTTAGTGGAATTGGAGTTCAAAGCTATAGTATATGCGTTGCATGTAGGCTTTAAGTTTTTTGAGTGTTTTCAAGTCAGTTTTTGACTCCTGGCAACTTCCTGGACTAATCCCTGAAGTTTTATTGGCAAGTTTTTTTGGGAAGTTTTTTTTTTTTTGCTGTGTAGGATGAGAGAAAAACACTAGCCCTGTTGGCTAAAACTTATGGTCTTGTTTCTTCAATCTTCTGGAAAAACAAAACACTAGAAAGACTACTGAAATTTTTGAGATTCAACAGATACGTTAACAGATATTAATGAAGTCTCATTAATCATGTCTCTTCAAGAATGTTGTGCAATCTAATTTAGGAGGGAATGATCTGTATCTATTAACAAATCAACTTGGTTTAGTATTCTATAATTCACCCCGCCACCCCTAATAATAGCATTTTTATTTCTCTTTCTTATCCAAATGCTCTTGATTGAACCATTGAATCCAAGATTCCTGGATCTTTAAACATGTGTGCATGTATTTCACATATAGCACCACTGCTCTTTTATGTGTGGCCTATTTGTTATACCCTTCAGTCCTTGCATGCTAGTCTTGCATTTTATCTCACCAAATTTCAGTGATTATTAAATCATATTTCCCTCCATTAAGACTTTCAGTTCCTGCTTCTTCCCATATGCCATATATTTCCCTTTATTTTCAGATGGATCAATCAAAAGGGGTAGCTGTCAGTGGATTTAAAGAATCAGAAGCCTTTTGGTCACAAGGAAAAATGACATTTCTTTTGACATCCATTGAGTTAAATAATTTCTGCATTATCACCACAACATAGCCCTTAATAGAGGCTCTAACTAAATTTGTAGTGCATCATCTCCAGCATTTCAAGCTTCTCTTCACCTGTTTCATCTCCCTCAACTAGTCTATAAATCAGGAAAATTTCTAGGATCCCTGAGTTAAGGGAGGCCATTTGGGTGTGCTCCAATCAAGATATTCTGCAACCCTCTCATTCTAGATGGACCCCTGGGCCTCAGATAGATTGAGCAGCATATGCTCTGAGACAACCCCAAGCTCCTTCTGAAGCCCAATGGTGTGCATCAGTTGCCTGGGGTGGACCAGTCTAATAGATCCTGGCTCCCTGCAGTGGAGGACAGTGCCAGAGAACAGCATTATTCATCAGTTAGCAGTCTAGCCACCAGACATTAAACTCAATATGAGTTATTATATGAGATGAAAAGGGAGGTTTAGTTTACTGGATCCAATGTTATCTTTGTCATTCCCTCTGCTCTTTGTGAATCTACTGTTTTATCTCATTTTTTTTGCAGTGTCTTTTCTTGTGGACAGTCAAAACCTGTTTTTGCCACAAAGGCTTGAAAACTTCCTCAGTTTTTGGTACAGAATTCTATATCTCTCGCGTTTGACTATCAGTTCCATCTACCGTGTTTGCTCTTTTTTTGTCTACTTATAGCCAATTGCTTCCTCTCCACTTTTTTGGTACCACCTCCTTTTTTGATGTAGTAAATCTTCATCCTTCATTAATGAAGTGCTGTTAACGAGTCATCGATTTTTCCTTCCAAGAATCACAAGGGTGACAATGACTAGATTCATCCCCAATGATCTTACTTTTCTTCATTGGCTCAAATGGTCAAAACTTTAATGTTTTTTCTTGTTCATTTCTATTCCTTTACCAGACTTCATTGGCAAACATCTTTTTGCTCTTCCTGTTCTTTTGCCCAATGAGCCTGCTCCCTGGAACCTGCCTGTAGGAGGAATATTAAAAATAATTAATTTCTACTAATTAATTTCTAATTATAGAAAGCAATTACTCAATCACCAGTTATTTAGAATATATCCTTTTTATCCTGAACAGTTGAACCTTAGAACGTTCAGTGTTACCAGAATTCTCATTTCTTCCTTGGTGTTAAAATGGCATTTCTCACAACAATCCTATGAAGTAGGTTGGACTAAGAGTGCCTGGCCTTAAAGTCACCTATTGAGTTTGCAATATTGAGGGATGTCTTCGAACCTGGGTCTTTTCAGAGCTACTGTATTTTTCAGAATATAAGACGCACTGTAGTATAAGACACAGCTTAGTTTTTGGGGAGGAAAATAGGGGAGAAAAAATCTGCCTACCAGGTATTCATCTGGCTAGCGTCCTTAGTCTGCTTGGGGATAAAAAACAGCTTCTAAAGCACAACTGATCTTTGGAGAGAGAAGCACTGAGAAAAGCAGGCAAACCATGGAGATCTCTTCACTCGCTAGTGACTCGTTAGGGCTGAAAAAAAGCTTCACAGCTGAGAGTTGGAGGGAGCAGGGAGAATTGCTTCACTGAAAAAGCTAAAGCACAGCTGAGATTCGGAGATAGATCGCTTCACTTGCTAGCGCCTCCTTAGAGCTGAAAAAAAGCTTAGAAAAAGCTACCATATTTTTGGGAGTATAAGACACACCTTTTTCCACCCAAAAAGAGGGTGAAAATCTGGGTGTGTTTTATACTCCGAATGTAGCCCCGCTCAGCCTCGCAAACGGAGATTTCAGAGGCTGAAAGAAGCCTCAGAAGTGTCAGAAAAAAAGCCTCAGAAAGGCTTTTATCTAAAATAATACACCAAGCAACAAAAGAAGAATCAGTAAAGATTCTAACCAAATTATGTTAACAAATCTGGAGAATGACACAATAACCAACAGATCAGAAGAGGTTAATCTACATACCAATACCAAAGAAAGGAGATTGAACAGAGTACAGATAGTTCTTCAGAATAAAAGCCTTTGAAAGAAGCTTCACAAAAAAAGCCTCTGAAAGAAGCTTCACAAAAAAAGCCTTTTTTTCTGAAGCTCTGTTTTGGAGCCTTTCAGAGGCAGAAAAAAAAGTTTTTTCTGAAACAGTTTTAGAAGTTTCAGAGGCAGACAAAAATGCAAGGCACAGAGCTCACAACCAAGGAATCTGTTGCTAAAATTCACCTCTGGAAACAGCTGATTGGAGGTATTCCGGGAGGCCGATCCACCCACCAATCAGCTTTTTTCTTATTTCCCTCCCCAAAAACTAAGGTGTGTCTTATACTCCGGTGCATCTTATACTCCAAAAAATATGGTACATTCGGAGTATAAGACGCACCCAAATTTTCAGCCTCTTTTAGGAGGGAAAAAAGTGTGTCTTATACTCTGAAAAATAAGGTATACGTATCTTGACTTGATAGACATGTTGTAAAGTAATTTTCAACCTCTTAAGTGAAAGCATATTCCAGTCTGTTAAAATTACTTTTGTGGAATTTTATATTTACATTTGCTGTAAAAGTTCAAGTATTTTTTTCAACAGCTGCACAATTAGGCTTGAAGAAGATTTAGTAATATTTTTATTTGCCCACAGGGTTAATTTTGTAACCAGGAATGATGTCAAAATGCACTGTTAATATATATTAACATATTTTAAGTTCTCGCCTTGAACTTATCTTGAACTTTTCAGAATTCTCACTCTGGTAGTGTTAAGCAATTAAATAAGTTCTAAGTAAAATAAAATTCATGCATTGTTTGTTCATTTTGTTAAATTGCACTTCTCTTTTTAGCCTGAAATATTGCGTATGATTTTCATGAGAGTTTTACAAAGTGTGTATGGAATCCGTGTGGAACATTTTTACACGGTAAGAATATATTAAGTCATGGGGAAAATGCATTGAAAGTAGAATGAGATGGAGCCTTAGTAATTCCCTATATTGTTTTACTTTGCCTTTAAAGACTAACAGATTTATTGTATGTATTATTGTCTTAAGACAGATATTACACTAAGTCTTTGGTCTTTAAGTTTGCTACCATGATTCTTGTTTGTTGTAATAAATTAATAGCTGCTTATCTGCCAATCAGTGGAGATGGGCAAAACATATTAATTTGAGCATCTATGCTTCATATAGTTTATAGTTTACTTTATTGTCATTGCACCTCGTACAACAAAATTAAATGCCACCTTCAGTGTACATTATACATAAAAAAATTAAACAAACACACATCCTTCACATTCTATACAATTGAATTGAAAACCCCTTGATATTGCATTAATATTGCACTATACAGTAGAATTCAATATGGTTACTGCTCTGGGATATAAGCTGTTTTTCAGCCTATTTGTCCTTGTTTTTATTATCCTGTACCGTCTGCCAGATGGAAATAGTTCAAAAAAAAAAGGGTGCCTAAAATGAGATGGATCTTTAAGAATGTTTTGAACTTTCTTAAGGCAGTGGGAGCTATAAAGCTCTTCCAAAGAGGTGAGAGGGCAAGCAATGATCCTCTTCATAATGATGTTAACCCTATAGTACTGTGTTCCTTCGTACTGTGTACCTTCGGGAAAGGCCTCTGTAGCCGATAACAGAGCTCTGGATGGTGATGGTGAAACGAGGGTGGGGGTGACACATGCATCAATCCGAAGCCCGTTTCTTGGCTGCAGAGGCCTTGAAAGCATCTGACATCGAAACGGAGGGTGGGGGCGACATGCACAAGCGGCGACAAGCGGCCACAGAAGAAGTGAGCTGGCAGTGGGCTCCTGTTGTGCGGGACTGTCGGTGCCGGAGCTGCAAGGTGAATCAGTGGAAGACATTCCCCGAAAATAAGACCTGGTGCCTTTTTTGGTGGCAAAAAAAAATATATAAGACCGGGTCTTATTTTCGGGGAAACACAGAGTTCAGAGTCTCCTAAGTCACAAGATGGACAGCAAATAAAATATATATATTGTATTTGGAAGCAGGGAACTACAAGTTTTGCCTGGCTTAGTTTTCCAAAATAAATGTGGTTCCCTGTACTAAACTGAAAGCAAATAAATTGCATGAGTCATTAGTGATTGATATTATACAGGTGGTAGTAAATGTATAATGGTACCAGGTATATACCCTGACTAGTAGCAACTTCCCAGAATTTTTCTAGAATCTTTTCCAAAGTTTGGTTCCTTTGAGAATATGCTGTTTCTATATATAATATTTTGTCTTAAAGATTTTATTTTAAAATGTTTATTTTAAATTAAATTAAATTTATTCTATGCTTTGAATGTTCACCAGTTAATGATAGGGATATCTAATTAATCTATAGATGTAGTTAAAATATAAATGAAGAATCTAGACAATGTGGTGACATTTTTAATTCCTCTTGACTAGGTGAAGATTTGTGTCATAATTTACTAGAAATTGAATAATTATCGCACTCTAGTTCTACGTTTTCTGTAGATGGATTATATCATTAGCTATGGCAGTTGATTATTGTAAGATTACAGTGTTCTGGAATGAAACACTGTATAGTCCTAAGGCTTATTGTAGGTGTACAGAGTCATGTGAAAATGTGGACTTTGATACCCCTCTATAAATGGATATCTTGCTATAAATGAATTTTATATTATCAGAGGAACTGAATGAAAAAAAATACATATTTCATTAGTTACTCCTTATTGATTATCTCCAATTAGATGCCAGTGACATTTGAAACAGCATATCCTCAGATTTTTGAAGGCTTTTTACCCATAGGAAATCTATTTGTTAATATGTAAGTATCCTGAAATCATGTTTTGTATTTGATTTTTTTTTTATGGCTTAGTTTTGTTTGTATGAATTTGAATGTGGGGATGTGTTGTTGTGTAGTTAAAATAGTTACTAGAATAGATGGTTCTTTTCTTGGGGTAATAAATTTTCTGTAATTATCTAGAATTCATATTGTGTTCAGTGAAATTATGATATTTTAGGGCTTTAGGTTTTAAAGTAAAAATGTGCTTCAGAGCATGCAACATTTCCCTGGTACTCCTTAAACCAAATGAATATTTCTGGAATTATGTGATTGCTTTAACTCTTCTGAAGTGCAGCATTGCCTTTCTATTATGTAATTGTGTATGCTAATAGAACTTGCTGATCAAAGGATTCATTTTTTTGGTGCTGTACTGCTTTAGAAAGGTAGTTTTGCCAAGCAAACACCTGAGAATTGATAGAAGACTTCAATAAATATAAGTATTAACACTTTTTAAAAAAATCTATAATTTTGACATGTAAGCTGTCATGCAGTATTACAATGAAATTAACATATTTCTCCTAGAGTTCTAGACTGTTTATGCTTTAAGTTTTTTAAAAAATGAAGCTAAATAATCTAATGCAAAGGGAATATTAAAATACTGTGTTTTCCTGAAAATAAGACCTTTCCTGAAAATAAGCCCTAGCTTGATTTTTTACACGTGCGCCCAATATAAGCTCTGCCCCCCAAAAAAGGCCTAGTTAAAACCCTACCCACTCCAGGGTGCATGGCGTGGAGAAAGGCACACAGTAAAAATTAAGCTAGGGTGGGGGGGTGAAGCTGCCCTACTACTTACCTTTGGACAGTTGCAGCCAGGCCTTGCACATCCTGACACCTGCCTTGCCAGCCCACTTCTGTGGCTGCTTGTCACTGCTTCCGCGCATTGCCCCGGCCTCTGTTTCGCTATATGAGGCCTTCAGGAAAGGTGTCTGACACTGAAATGGAGGCCGGGGGCGATGCGCGCAAGTGGCAACAAGCAGCCGCAGAACAAGTGGGCCAGCAGCTGGCTCCTTAGGTGGGGCTGTCAGTGTCGCCGCTGCGTCAGTGGAAGACATTCTCTGAAAATAAGACCTAGTGCCTTTTTTGTGGCAAAAAAATATATATATATATAAGACCAAGTCTTATTTTCGGAGAAACACAATAGTTTCCCCTGCAGCACTATTCTGTAACATTTAAGACTCAGGTTATAGTTGTTTCCTTTATTACCTTCCTATGTAATATAATACCAAAGAAACAATTACATTATGAATTATACTGGTGAAGTAAATATTATAAGTAATCTAATTAAAGAATATGTAAAAACTTTGACAGGGAGCGATTTTTCCCCATCTGTCGTGTCAATGACTTCCAGATTGCAGACATTATACATCCAAGTAAGCATTAATTTTTTTCTCCGGATTGTATATGCTTCATAGCTCAAATGGTCATATATTTTTATTTCCCTAAATTGGTTCACTAGATTTTATTTTATCTTTTTTATAATTAAGTTTACATTTCAGTATTTTCTCAAGAATAATGGTTAGTATAATCATATGGAAATTTATCAGGTTAGCACGCTGCCAAACTGCAGGCATGACTGCATGATCTGTCTGACTTACAGGACTGTACCTTCTCCTATAATAGGAACGCCAATTATGTGGAAGAAGTAGTTATGCTTCAGTAAGAAGAAATAGTTCCAAATTTATTTTATTTTACTACATTTGTATTTTCTCCTTCAGTTCTACCCATTTAATCTTTGAAATAATTAAGAAGAAATACTGACCCATATGACTTCATAAACTTTATGATAGGGAATTTATTTGTAGGATATTTTTCAATTCAAATGAACATGTTGTTTCACATAAAAAAGTGAAGCATGTATACTGAAATATTAATAATAAAATTACTGATCATTACAGGGAGATATAGTAGTTAAGGCACCAGGCTAGAAAGAAGGAGATCTTGAGTTCAGTTCTGCCTTAGCCATAAAAGCCAGCTTGGATGACTTTAGACCAGTCACTTTCTCTTAGCCCAACCTACCTCACAGGGTTGGGGAAAATATGAGGTGAAAGAAGTATTATGTATGTTCGTTGCTTTGAGTTGTTTGTAAGCATAATAAAGGCAGTATACAAATAAATAAATATAGAAAAATAAAATAGATATCTTTATCAATTTTCATAATTTAGATTGGAAGGAAATACATTCTGTAGCCTGCAGAAAAACAAAAACCACCAGAATTTCTTTTTTATATCTTAATGTCTGAACAGATTTGGAATCTATGAAAGAAACAATGTTTTAAATTGTTCCCAGGAAGTAAATTTAGGAACATATATTTCAACCTAAACCACATATTTTCTCAGACATCTCTACCAAATTGCAACCTAACTCCTATATTTTGCATCAGTTGCAGCTTCTGGACACTTTTCAAAATGTAGTTCTTTACCTAACACAGGAGTGTCAAACTCAATTTCATTGAGGACCGCATCAGGGCTGTGGTTGACTTTGAGGGGCTGGGCAGGCGTGGCCGACTGGGTGGGTGTGGCCAGCTTGATGCCACTTACTGGATGTGGCCAACTGGGTGGGCGTGGCCAGCTTGATACCACTCCCCAAACTGCTGGCATGATACCTCTTCGCATTGGGTAGACCGGGCTGAAGCAACGCTGGCCCGATGTTTTCTCTTTGCATTGGGTAGAATCGGCCAAAGCCACACTAGCCTGATATTTCCTCTTTGCATTGGGTAGACTGGGCCAAAGCCATGCTGGTCTGATGTTTCCTCTTTGCATTGGGTAAACCGGGCCGAAGCCATGCTGGCCCTATGTTTTCTGTTCGCATTGGGTAGAATCGGCCAAAGTCACGCTGGCATGATGTTTCCTCTTTGCACTGGGTAGACCGGGCTGAAGCGATGAAGGCCGGCCCCTTACATTTTCCAGGATGGTCCCGCGGGCCAGATTTGGCTTGTGGGTATTGTGTTTGATATGCCTGACCTAATACGTTGCAGTAGTCTAGAGGGAATATGACCATGGCCCAAGCATAAGTTATTGTGGCACTATCTGCAACTCTACTCTTCATCACAGCTGCCACCTAGTAATGCCAGTCAAGAGCAAGGAAATCTGCAGACTTGTTTTTTCAGGGGACTGTAACTCCAGCCAGAACAGACTGGAATATGAATCTAAATTTGTGTGAAAAAAACTTTTTAACTAGTTGTTTTCCAGATAGGGGACTCAATAATCCAGGCATGGATATCACTCTTGTCTTCTAGCTCTACCGACTGAGTTTAAACTGAAGGGACGCCCTCTCCTGATGCTCCCAGTTTCAACTCAGTCTTGAGCTCATTCAGACTGCTTGGGAGTTTCTCTCTGTTAGAGATTGGATTACTTGGAGGAAATTGGTCAGCTACATTGCTGATATTTGGCTGGACAGCGTGAAGAGCCCGAGGCTCGAGCCTGCTGTAATTTTTGTTTTTTCTTTCTTTGCGCTTGGGAGCCGTGGTAACCTGACTGTGGTGAGTTTGGAGCTGCTGAGCAGCGGCCGCCATTTTGGGCAGCCCGCCTTCATTTTGGAAGCAGCTGGACAGCGTGGGAAGCGGAGACTTGAGCCCACTGTAGATTTAATCCACATTTTGGCGTCTTGCTGCACGGTGGCTGCCTGGCTAAATTTGGGGCTCCTGATAGTAGTTTGCCATTTTAAGGCTGCCATGATCCTTGTGGCAAGGGTGGAGCAGCTTGAGTGCCATAGGCCTTTTACCGCTGAGAAATTGGGTGCGAAGAAGTGTTGGAGGAGGCGACAGCTGTGGTGGCCATTTTGGAGCTCCTTAGAGCCGATTCACAGAGACCTCCAGAGTAACCAGCTGACAGTGGGGCTTGGTTTGCAGCCCTGAGGAAGGTCGAAGTCCTCGGAAGGCAGCCTGATGGGCCATTGGTCCGATCCCGCTTAGGCCTGTGAGGTGAAAAGAAGGAACAGCTGCGCTACTATTGGCTCCATAGGAGGTTGCCTCCTGAACATTGCGCACCATTTTAGAGCGGAGCGTGAAGGGTCAGTGGCCCGAAACCGCTCTTAAGGCTTTTAAATTCTTTTATGCTGGCCCTTAGTGAGTAGCTTGGGTATCGGGCGAATTTGACTGGCCAGACTTGGTATTTTTGACCAGACCCGGGGCTGGATCACTGCGGCTGCAGCCTGTGTGCCTTTCTTCAAAGCCAACATCGCATCTGCCTGCAATAAGTGCAGGGAGCATTCTTCGGCCTGTCATTCCGGTTACCGTGAGCACAAGAGGACATTGTGTGGAACCATAGTCTTTGCAGCTTCGTTGGATTGGTGAGATAACCAGACATTTCAGGTGATTATCTGGAGATTGTAATTTTGGGCTGAGACTTGACTGAAATTAACATGGTGTCTGAGGCTTCATTTGATGAACCCATGGAGATGGGTGAGGGCTCTTACCACCACAGGGCAGCTAGGCGCAGCTTAAGACATCATGTAAGTCTAGGACGGGGAGCAAAAAGGCAGTAGCCATCAAGAAGCCCTCTAAAGCCCAGGAGAGAGCCCAAAAATGGCTGCAGAAAGCCCTAGAGAAACAAGTAGAGAAGGGGCTTAAGGCAACGGAGAAACCAAACATATTAGTCCTCAGAGGACAATAGAAACTAGAGGAATATCTGACCCTGCCCAACAGATGGAGACTGTGAACATTAGAGCTGTTGGCTGAACCAGGTCCTTCTACTGATTTCAGGCCTTCGATGTCATTGTCACCATTACCTCTGGGAGGAGAGTCTAGCAGGGGGATTAGACCTTCTACAGTGGACTCTTTCATGCTGATGGTGGCAGCAGAGTTGAGCTGCTGATGCTGTCAGTGTTACAGAAATGGATCTCAGAGGCGGTGCAACGAGGCTTTGAGACTGGCATCCGCCACAACAGGCATTCATTGGGCAGGGCAGAGGCCCCGATTACAGGCAAATTCCATCAATTTTTGGAACCAAGGGTGCCAGTGTCCCCGCAAAGTTCTTGCTTCAGGGACCAATGACTCCCTATCTATTGAAGAGGGACAGTTAGAACAAGAATTGTCAGAGGAGGAAGGCCTGATACCTGACCAACCCATCTTCAAGGGGTTATTCAGGCCTCACTTGTTCAAGGCCCTGCTCTTCAAGGCGAAGAACTCAACAATGTTGAGCACAAACACCTCACCAGAAGGGGCACTGGTAGAACAGGATCCTGCGGAGTTGCTTTTTTCCAAACCTACCACAGAGACGGAGGCTATTCTGGCACCCCAATTATTTTTGGATATGATCCAAAGACAGTGGAATTATCCAGGGACATGTCCATATTTTCCCTCTTATGACAGGAAGTTTTACAACATGACACCTGATCTCACCAACCTCCTTCAAGTCCCGGAGCTGGATGAACCGGTGATTGCCTTAGCATCCCCATCAGTGGCGCTAGGAGAGGCAGAGGAAGTGTTGAAACCGGATGAAAGAAAGATAGAGTTAGCACTTTGTAAAGCCCACCAGGCTGCTGCCTGGGGGATTAAAGCAGCTACAACCACATCATTCTTTACAAGGGCATCCTTGCTTTGGCTAAAGCAAATGCAGGAAAGGGCCACTGATGTTAGAACACATCAGGATTTTAATAAAGTAGTGGCAGTGGCTGAATTCACAGCAGATGCCACGTTAAATTCAGCAAAGTTTGGGGCAAGGGCCATTGCCTCCACAGTTATGACCAGGCGCTTATGTTGGCTCAAGCACTGGCAGGCAAACACCAAGCGGAAATGGAGACTGGTGTCTGCCCCTTTCAAGGGATCTAGATTGTTTGGCATGTCCTTGAATCCAATTTTGATAGAGGCCAGGGACAACAGAAAAGTTTTGCCGACTCTCTTACGGAGAATTGATAACCGTTCCTCGACACCTTTTTTGGAGACCTTGTTTTTGTCCCTATGGGGGGGGGTGTCAGGCTTTCAACGGTCACAGAGGGGATTTGGCCAGGGACAGTACTACCAGACAGGACAGTACTACCAAACAGGACAAGGGTTCGCAGACAGGGCCAGACCACACTCCCAATACAAGCGGCCATTTCACGGGGGGAGCAATTGCTCCTTTCGCTGCCATCACTGACTCCAGGGACACAGCTCCCATTGGTGGCCGACTAGGTCTTTTTGCGGGCCAGCGGGAGCAGACAACTACAGACACGTGGGTCAGTGAGACCATAACATCCGGTCTCTCCATAGAATTCTCCATAGAATTTTATCCGTTGTCCTGTATCAAGGGAAGCGGCCAAAAGAAGGATCATGGAGACTGCCATTCAGCATTTGCTGGAAATAAAAGCAGTGGACACCGTCCCAGACGAACAGCAGGCACACAGGTATTATTCCATGTTATTTGTAATCAAGAAGACCTCGGGAGGGTCGCGACCGATTCTCAATTTGAAGGAGCTCAACAAATACCTGAGGTATCAGAGGTTCAAGATGCATTCTCTTCAATCAATCTTAGAGAATGTCCAGAGGGGAGACTTCTTGACCTCCATCGACCTCACAGAGGCGTACTTACATGTCACAATCCAGGGTCACAGGCAGTACCTGAGATTTTGCTACAGCGGCAAACATCTCCAGTACCGAGCATTACCATTCGGGTTAGCATCAGTGCCCAGAGTATTTACAAAATGTCTAGCAGCATTGGGGGCCTCGTTCAGGTCCAGACCAGTCCGGGTACAGAGTTACCTGGATAACATTCTGGTCCAGTCGATGTCTCATGCAGAGTCAGAAAGAGACTTAAGCATCACAGTGCGTTGTCTGCAGGCCCATGGCTTCTCCATCAATGTGCGGAAGAGCCATCTCACACAGATGAATCGCCTGTTACATCTAGGGGCGATAATAGATACAATGAGCTGTCAGGTATTTCTGTCACCACAGAGGCTAGAGAGCATCAGGAGTTTGGTAACACAGGTCCGCTCGACCAAGGTGGTGCCACTTGCCTTACTGGCAACCTTACTAGGCAAGATTATTTCTTCATAAACATAGTTCCATGGGCAAGGTTACACGCACGCCCTCTGCAGTGGTTCCTACTACCATTTCAGAGGTTGGGCCGGAGCACGTCTCCAGCCAGAATTCAGGTTCTGGCAGCGGTATTAACATCCCTCCTCTGGTGGGTTTCCAACCGCTTGACAAAGGGATGCTATTTCAAGGTCCAGGACTGTCAGATAGTCATCACGGACGCCAGTCTGGAGGGCTGAGGGGCCCATTGTCAATACCTAGTGGCCCAAGTTACATGGTCAAGGACAGAGTCATGACAGAGCATCAGTTGTTAGAATTGAGGGCAGCTTGATTGGCTCTCAGGACATTCAAGACGTATTTGGCGGGCCACTATGTGCTTCTTACCGACAACGTTGCTGCCAAGGCACATGTGAATAGACAGGGCAGCACACACTCCAGACTACTGATGGAAGAAGCGAGGCTCCTCTGTCGCTGGGTGGAGAAGAACCTAGTATCCATCAAGGCGGAGCACATTTCGGGCTCAGACAATGTGCAGGTAGATTGGCGATCAGGGCCACCATAGACCATACTGAGTGGCGCCTGCAGCCGGCATTGTTCAAGGAGATCGGGGCTTGCTTCGATCATCCGATCATGGACCTTTTTGTATCTCCGGCAAACAGCCAACTGCCTCGATTCTTCTCCCGGTTTCCAGCACAGGGGTTGGAGGGAGTCAATGCCCTTCATTGCCCTTGGTCCCAAGGACTACTATACACATTTCTATCTATGGCGTTGATACCACAGGTGATCAGTCAGATTCTACAAGAGAAGGCGGATTGATCCTGATAGCCCCTCATTGGCCCAGATGCCCATGGTTCGCGGATCTGGTCTATTGATCACCGACCTATGGAGAATTCCGCCTGACAGAATCTCTCAGCCAGGGGCCCATCTACCATCCTGACCCAGAATGGTTACATCTGACCATGTAGCGGTTGAGCAGAGACTTCTGACGGAGTGGAACTTTTGGCAGGGGTCATACAGACAATTCAGGCAGCCAAGAGGCCATCCACGGCGCAAATTTATAATGCCACTTGGCATAGATTTAGTCAGTGGTGTACCAACCGGACCATTGAGGCCACTAAGGTGTTGGTCCCACAGCTGTTAGATTTTCTTCAAGACGGACTGGACAGAGGATTGGCCCCGGCTACTCTTCGCAGGCAAGTAGCAACTTTGGCTTCTGTCCTGTCATGTGGGGCGCAGGAGCCGGTGATATGGTGCCCGGAGGTGAGGAGATTTCTGTGGGGAGCCACTAATTTAAAACCTATTGTAGTTCACCGTTACCCCACTTGGGATCTCACTAAAGTGTTGCAGGCGCTTACCAAGGCTCCTTTCGAGCCGCTCAGGACTAACCACCTAACCTTTCTCACATACAAAGTGATTTTTCTAGTGGCCATAACATCGGCCAAGAAAATATCGGAGCTGGCTGCGCTCTCCGTGAGGGTGGATTTATGTATGTTTCGCACGGATCGAGCAGTGTTGTGGCTGGACCCTGCTTTTGTACTCAAGATCAACTCCTGGTTTCACCAGGCCCAGGAGTTGATCTTACTGAACCTCTGCCCCAACCCGTATTGCCCCAGAGAAAGGGAATGGCACTCCCTGGATGTCCGGAGAGCCTTGCGGATCTATATTAAGAGGATGAGGGCCTTCTGTAAAACGGAGGCACTCTTTGTGTCGTTTTCACTGACAACAATGGGTAGAGGTATCAGCATCAACGATCGGCAGGTGGCTCTGGGTGACCATCACCAGAGCTTATGACACTCGGAACTTATCGAGGCCAGGGGCAATTACAGCGCACTCTACCCGGAGTGCTGCTACAATGGCAGCCTAGGCGATGCAGGCTTCAGTGGAAGAGATCTGTAGAGCGGCTACTTGGGCATCACCTTCACCATTTATCCGGCACTATTGGCTAGACTCCTTCACCTTGGCAGAGGCCGCCTTTGGCAGACGGGTCCTTCATCATGTTCTGAGGACGACCAGTGAACAGGACCAGATAGATACCCTCTATCTGGACAGCCAGCTTTGGTATGTCCCATGCCTGGAGTATCGAGTCCCCTATCCAGAAGATAGGGCGTTAGTCCTATCTGATACACCCGTTTTCGGTAGGGGATGAGATACTCCAGCCCTGCCCTAAGTGGGTCTGGTCCGGGATTCCTTTGGGTGTTGTTACACGTGATGCATTTGAAAGCCCCATGAGGACTTCGTTGAAACTGGGAGTGTCAGGAGAGGATGTCTCTTCAATTTAACCTCAGTCTGTAGAGCTAGAAGACAAGAGTGATACCCATGCCTGGAGTACCTCGTCCCCTACCGAAAACAGGTGTATCAGGTAGGACCAACACCCTATTTCCATTATTCTAACTGTCCAGAATCTACAGAATTTGTAGATGCCGTTCTTGAATTGGATCTAGTATAAGGGTATATTGATAAGGAAACAGTTTTACATAATCTAGTTGGAAACCAATCCAAGTTCTTGCAATTTGCTTATATCTATGTTGTCTGATTTCTCAATCATATTTAATAATGGTATGAAAGAAAGAGCTTCTCATTTTTAGAAATTGTAATGGTTTAATAATGAATGAATGCAACATGGGAATTTGAATGATTTCAAGTCTAATCAGTATCTAAAATCAAAGCTGTAAATTTCTGACCTCATTTCCCCTAATCAAATCATATATGGCTATGGAAAAGCTTTGCAGGCTGTATCTTTAAATTAATGACAGCTGTGCTCAGTTTTACTCATGTAATAAAGCATTTACTTCCACATTTGAGAGCAGTTCATTTGATTTTTGTTACTGCTGATATATATTGGATTGCTAGTCACTGTGAAAGAGTTGACAAACTGCTTCTAATTTGTATAAAATATCAGAACAAATATTAAATTTGTATAAAACTTTCAGAATCCTAGCCTCACTCATGTTCAATTTCAGAGCTGGGAACTATTGTTTTTAGAAATGAATTCCAAAATAAATAGAATGAGATTTTGCAGTTGTTTGATAATGAATTAGATTCTTAATTGTATAAGAGCCATTCAAGCCATCTTCCTCTTTAAAAAGTATTAAGGTACTAAATTAAATATAAAAATGGAAATCTGAATTGGATTTTTAAATGTAAAGGTTGCAAGTTCAATTATATGTTTCATTATGAATACCAAAGAAGAGTGTCAGCATTATGCAGTACTTCCCTTTGTTCATATACACAAGACTTACATTTAGATGTAATCAGCTCCCAATAAAACTCATCTGAAGTCATTTAAGGTGCATTTCTGTTTACAGTTCAATAAACACTCAACATTTTCAGGGATTCCTTAGATGCCATATGTCATCTCTTCCTGGTTGGTTTGTTCTCAAAGAGATAGGAGTTTAAATTTTATAATTCTTTGAAAAAATTATTAAACCATAGGTGTCTTTAATTTTTTTTTTTTTTTATTTTTTTTTTTTTGTAGAAGCAAACAGGACAGCTCGGTTTTTGAGTGGTATTTTTAATTTTCTATACTTCTGTGATTCACGGCGTGAAGTCTACTTGGAAATCCAGAATGTACATGTAAGATTAATTTTTACTTTTTTTCCTTGTTAGATCTTCAGAAATGATAATTCTGACAAATTGAGTGTAGTGTATTACGGAAAGGTTCTTTAGCTTCTTGCATCTTTTGTGTAGTTAATTTCACATTTTTACCTTTCTAGCTGTTAATCTGTTACTCGTTATGTTTTTTTTGTACCACTTTAGTAAACAGCTTAGCTACCACTGTCTAAAATGCCCATGAAATTACTTTTTCCTTCTAGTGAAATTTCTATTTATTTTTATTATGTTAACTAAAAACTTCAATAATATTTTTTTAAAAAGAATCAATGTATACTAGTTGGCCTTTTTACAAATTCAGCCAGTTCAACAAAAAGCCAAACTTTAGAATTTGTCAAATTCTAAATAATATTAAACTTATTTGATGATCTTGAGCTATCGTTTTATTTGTTCTTCAACCTTCCAGACAAATAAGAGAGTAAAAGAGCCTTATGTAGCTTTTTGATGAAAGGATACATAAATCTGCAAGAAAAAAGGCCAAGTAAAATCTGGATCCATTCCTTTTTCTCTCAGCAGTAAAAGTTACATTGCAAAACTGCTGCTGTCTCATCTTGCCTGTAATACCACAGTTATGTTTTTTCTTAAGACTGAAAAATTGGATAACTAGAATAACCACTTGTTGATTAATTATCTAGGCGTCAGGTATGCAAGCAATGATCCACTTTTTAGAGGAATTATCCATATACCATTCAAAAGAGATAATCAATGAGAAAAAGGAAACAAAAAGACCAAAACATCTCATCACCAGGAATCAACACCTAGAGGAGTAAAGATCACCAAGATTAACATTAGACTAACAATCAAGAAATAAGCAATACCCCAACTCCAGGAACTGCCAAACAAGCTAACAGTAAACAGCCCAAGAAAAGAATCACCAAGACCACTCCCAACAATACTGACAGGGCAAGCCACTAGAATATAAAATGAGAGCAAACCCACTCCCTGCTGGCACAGATGATGTTACCTAGTTTGGATAAAAAAATGTCTGCAAGAAAACAACCAAGCTCAAAGAACAAGGACCCCTCATTTCAATCCTGTGCCACAAATATTCTTTAAAAGTTGAATCACTTTGCTGAAAGTCCACCTATCCTCAGGTTTAAAGAACATTCAACTGCTAATATTCTGACCTGCTGAAGAACAAGAAAAGATTTTTGAGATGTGATCTGCTACTATTGAGAAAGTGACATTTCTTTCCCATTCCCCTCTAGTTTAATTAATCATGGAGACATATATCTTGCTTTCATGTATCTCTAGCCAATATTGTCAGTTCAAACTGAGACAAAACCTGGAGCTTTTATAGCCTGATTTGTAGGCAGTAAATAGGCATAAATGTATTAAATAAGGGTATACTCTGACCAGTATAATTTCACTTTTTATAGTCAGTTGCAATTTTTCTATATGTTGAATTGCATGTAATATAAGTTCTTTTTCAAAGAAAACAGCAATGGAGAAAGAGCAACAACTTCAGGTGGCAATCCAGGATGCAACACTGAAGCTGGAAAAGATGGAGTAAGATAACTACTGAATAAGTATTAAAATTATTAAGAATTAGTTCATAAGACTGAAGTACTTTATATCTGGTATAGAATTTGTAATATTTTGAAGAATGCATGTCTGAATTCTGCTTACATGCTTTTCACATGGATTCTGTTGTTAATGGCATTTGAATCAAAGATTTGCCATAGCATGTTACAGGGAGTGTTGTAAATTGACTGGATGTTCAGTCCTTAAGACTGTTGAAAAATAGGTGCTGCTAATGAGTTCTTTTGAAGTACTGTATTTTTCGGTGTATAAGATGCGCTCCCACCCCAAAAAAAGTGTGTGGAAATGTCTGTGTGTCTTATACAACTAATATTGCTGAAGCCCCGCCTACCTGCTGGCCCCAACCTTTCAGCCTCTGCCTCCCAGCAATTTGCCTCCTTGCAGCAAACTGCTTGATCAGCTTCAACACAGCCTGATTTAGCACAAGCAGCTGATTGGCGGTTGGATCTGCCTCCCAGAATACCGCCTATCAGCTGTTCCAGGCTGCGGGGATCGCCACTCGCCACCCATCACTGCTGCCGCCTATCTGCGCTTCACATTTTCAGCCTCTGCATGCCCCATTTTTCGTCCGTTCCAGTTGGCGGGGATTGTCGCTGCTGCCTATCCCTGCCACCTGGAACAGGCCAAAAATGGGGCACGTGGAGGCCAAAAATGGGGCGTGCTGAGGCAGCGATAGGCTGCTGTGGCAATGGGTGGTGGTTATCTCCATGACAGGATGGGTTGGGACATGGTTAAAGGAAGGAAACTGTGATTTATTTCTATGTTTTCTCAAATTTATTTCTCAAATAAGAGAAAGTAAGATTTCTTCTCTGGTTTTTCCATTACGCGTACCTCTGCTGTTCTGCTCATACCTCTTAGTGGATAGGGAAAAAAGAAGAGCTCCTTATTTGTGTGTATATGAGAGAGAGAGGGGCCGGGGGTGGGATGGGGGGGTCCCAATGGAAAGCATGGTTGAAATGTTTTTGGAAGGACACATTCTCACAATGACTTATTGGAACCAAATTGGTTCAGTTTCTGTAATACAGCCTCAAAATTACAGGGATTTGATTTCAGTTAAAAAAGGAATGAGATTGTGTTTTTCTTGGGCCAAGTTTCTGGAGCTACAGTCACCATTTTAGGTGCAAATAACTATTGAGTTCCCTGCCTAGGTGTGGCTTGGGTTGATAAGGGGCAATGTGTTTCTTTGTGCCTATCATATTGGTTAACCTCCCCTGCTATTTTCATGCAAGATCTTTAAATTTCATCCTCTCCACATTAAGATTTTTTAATGTTATGTATTAAATTGAAATTGTCTAAGCAAATATCTATTGAAGGATGTTTTATGTACATATCTAAAATTTTACATTAAATATATTATTGCAGAATGTAAGATTGCCAAGTAGCTTCCTCAAAAATAAGCAGCTTTTTAAATAAGTGAAACAATATGTACCTTCTGTATGTTAAATTTATATGTCAAATTCATTTTTCTCTAAACTGAGCACTATTTCTATATACTCAGTATTGTTCCTGCAGACCAAGAAGTAGAGTTCAAGGAGCTGTCTCAAGAAATTCAAGAACTACAGCATAAACTCAACCAAGAATATCGGCAGAAAACAGTATGTGTTCTTACTACAGTTCATGTGATATCCACAAACTATGCTGTGTAGCTGTCCATTATATAACAGCTGAAGAGAACTTGTAGTAAAATATATACAGGTAAAGATAAAGGTTCCCCTTGCACATATGTGCTAGTCGTTCCCGACTCTAGGTGGCGGTGCTCATCTCCGTTTCAAAGCCGAAGAGCCAGCGCTGTCTGAAGATGTCTCCATGGTCATGCGGCTGGCATGACTAAACGCCAAAGGCGCACAGAACGCTGTTAATTTCCCACCAAAGGTAGTCTCTATTTTTCTACTTGCATTTTTTACCTGCTTTCGAACTGCTAGGTTGGCAGAAGCTGGGGCAAGTAATGGGAGCTCACTTCATTATGCGGTGCTAGGGATGCGAACCGCCAAACTGCCAATCTTTCTGATCAACAAGCTCAGCATCTTAGCCACTGAGCCACCACGTCCTCTTAACTAGCCAACCTATCAGTTCAAAAGCACATAACAATGCAAATAGAAAAATAGGGACCAACTTGGTGAGAAACGTAACAGCGTTCCGTGTGCCTTCGGCATTTAATCATGCCAGCCACAATGCCACAGAATTGTCATCAGATAGCACTGGCTCTTCCGCTTAGAAATGGAGATGAGAGTCGGGAATGACTAGCACGTATGTGCAAGGGGAACCTTTACCTTTACCTATATACAGGTAGACCCTGATTAGTGACAAGTTGCTTAATGACTATTGGAAGTGAGGATGGACCTATCGGGCTACTTTGGACCCAGATTTGAAGTTACGGATGGTTGCAACCCCTCTCCCTGACTGCATTTATAGCCATTTGCAACATTTTGTGGTCATGTGATTGCATTTTACAATTACCAAAGCCTGGCATTTACTTCCAGTTTTCAACAAAACTGTGCCCCTAGTGAACCATTGGTTTGCTTAATGACTGCTGCAAAAAAATTGGTAAATCTTGTTGGTCATATGACTGACCCATTTTATGACCATGATGGGCAGGCTCCATTACCGTCATGACCACCTCTACTGTGACCTGCTTCATTTTTAGAATATCACATCAATGATTAAGGATTTAGAAAACATCTACATTGTAATTGTATGTTCCCATTCTTATAATTATACTTTGTACCAGAGATGTCTGACTTACAGTGAATAACAATAAATAACACTGAGGTAATTTCTTCCCTATTTCCTAGTAAAGCTATTATAAACTACTTCTGAGGAGCTGGATTGGATCAGCTATTCTCCTTTGTATGGCTCATATGCTTATAGTAGCTGGGCTCATGTCTCATTGTAAAATAAGATTCTTACTTTGGTTTGTTGAATAACCTATAGTTAGCTGGATTCACATATAGGTTACTTTATAAACCATACAGCTAATAGAGATATGTGAAACCTGATCTTAATCTTACTAGAAATGCTTCAGAATATGGAAGTGTAAGGATCGCCTCTCCTTCCAAGGAGAGCGAAGATTGCTTCTCTGGGTTGACCATTTTGCAGATTGTGCTTTCTGTAAGGATCACCTCTCCTTCCATCCTAAGAAAGTACGAACTCTTGAAACGTAGTTGTTCAAAAGGATTCTTTTATTAAGCAGAAGTGAAAACCATCCAGCTAAAGCACAATCTGAATGCCCTTAGGCAAAGCAGTAGGATTAAAGTAGTAGGGACCCCTCCCTTTAAGTCAGAATGCAGATTTCAGCCAATACACAAGTGTGAAGATGTTTTCTTTATACTATTTCCTTTGAGAACCCGAACCAACATGCATTCCTACCACTACCCTTTAAAGTGAGACAACCCACATGGCTATCATAAAAATTCCTGCAGGTAAAGGGAATCTCAGGCTTCCTTGGCCCCAGGATATAGGTTGTAAAATATCTGATGACACAGGCCATGCTAGTAAATCGAATCCAAGTCTCCCCTTTCCTCCACTTGAATGGCAGTATCACTTTTAGGGATCTGACAGGAAGAAAATATGCATTATTAAAATTGAACGTACTCTAAGGTGAAATGAAAAATAGGCTCTCCTTAAACATATGAAAATATCTAGATCCTTTTCAGTTGTTCATTAATGGGACAAATGCATTATCTCCTCTGGTAGATGACCTTCATGAGAGCTAGATGTGGGGAGTCTCTTGATCTTGGTAGAGCTATTAGCAGCTTTTGATAACATTAAGCATAGTATAATTCTAGTTCACATTCAGGAGTTGGGAGTGAGGTTTATCTCTTATTTCAGTGGATTGTCCATATGATTATTGTGAGGGAGTCTTCAAGTGCATGGGAACACCACTGCAGGATCCATTGATTCACATATCCATTGATAAGGATATGTATATCTCATATTAAACTATTGGGAGAAATTATCTGTTAGTTCAGGTGAAGTGTTATTAGTATACTGTTGATACTTAGCTATGTATTACCAGATTCAAGCCAAGATGCCATGGAAATCTTGGATGGGAAGAAACAAGCACACATTAAATCCTACCCTGATATAGCCTATGGGTGTCAGTAAACATTGAATCTATACTATTGGTTCCAGTAGTTATCTCTAATTATTTTTAGCCACCCAGAATCATAAACCTTAGATAGGCAGCCATGTAAATTGAGAAACACATACATGCGTTGAAGAGGTGGTCCTGGCTTGGTCCTGGATTCTCAGCTCCTGCTCAGGCACCAGGTGGAAGCCATGGTCAGAAGAGCTTTCTTCCAGCTTTTGTCTGTGAATCGTTTACTGCTTTACCTGTACTAGGGTGCCATGGCCACAGTAACTCATGTCCTGGTCACAACCTGATGGGGCTCCTGCAATGTGCTTTTGGGTTGGGGCTGCCTTTGGATATCACATGGAAAATATGGTGGCAAGATTGGAACAGCCTTGACAATGAAGAATAAAAACTATACTAAAATTGTGGATTGGTTTCCAGTAAGCATCTAGGCCTCATTTAATGTAATGGTCATCTTTAAAGCTGTATATGGTGTAGCATCATGACATATTACACAACAATTATTGGGATTTTTAATTGTCTTGGGCTAAATTATTTAATTTGGTTTTAATTATGTTTCTAACTTTTGTATTTATGAATTTTATTTTGTGCCTGTTCACCGCCCTGAGTCCTTTGGGAGTAGGGCGGTATATAAATTTAATAAAACAAAACATAAAACAAACACTTTGGCAAGGTTGAAACTATCCATTCATTTGAGTCATCTAGATTTCCAATGCCCATGGCAGCCACATTTTCTGAAACTCTGTCTTCCAACATCATACCTTGTTAATATTCTGTAAGCAAGCCAAGCCTATATTGTTTTACCAACCTTTTGGCCCCTAGATCCTCAGTGGGAATATTTATCCTTTATGTTTAATGTTTGGATTGTATAATTCAATATTTTTATTTTGAGTATTGCTATTTGTCACTTAAAATCTTCTGGGGTTGGGACAAATTATAAGCATTGCAAATAAATGTTCTTAATTGTCGTGCAATTTTTTTTGTAGAATGTTTTGCAAGAAATGATCCATCAAAAAAGAATGGAAATTGCAGAAAAAAATCAAAATTTAGTAAGTAGCATTCAAACAAAGACTAGTAAATTTAAGAATCTAATTTCAAAAACTGATAAGAGCATATGCTTAACTATAATAGTTTACATACTGTATAATGTGAGATTCTTTGAAAAATATTTCAAAGATGCTTTATTTTAGAATCATAGGGCTGGAAGGGACCTTGGAGGTCTTCTAGTTCAACCCCCTGCCCATGGCAAGAGATCTTATATCATACCAGATAAATGGTTCTCCAATCTTTTCTTGAAGACCTCTAGTGATGGTGTGCCCAAAATTGTGGGAGGCAAATTGTTCCATCGGTTAATTGTTCTCACTGTTGAGAAATTTCTCCTTAGTTCCAGTTTGGATCTCTCTTTAATGATCTTACATCCATTGCTTCTTGTCCTGTCCTTCGGTGATTTGGAGAATAAGTCAACCCCTCTTTTTTGTGACAGCCCTTCAAGCACTGGAAGACAGCTATCATGTCATCCCTAATCCTTCTCTTCAATAAACTAGACATATCTTATTCCCTTAACCATTCATCATACAGTTTAGCCACCAAAGCCTTTATCATCTGTGTTGCTGTTCTCTGCATTCTTTCTAAAGTCTCAGCATATTTTTTGTTTCATGAAGACCAGGACTGGACGCAGTATTCCAAGTGTGGCTTCACTAATGCAGTACAGAGTGGTACTATCACTTTTTGTGATCTTGATGCTACCCCTCTATTGATGCAGCCCAGGACTGCATTGGCTTTTTTGGTTGCTGCTGACTCATAATTAAGTGTTGGTCCACAAGGACACCTAAATCCCTCTCATAGTTACTACTGTTGAGCCAGATACAGCCCATTTTGATAAGTGTGCATTTGATTTTTTTTCCTCCCTGGGTGCAGGACCTTAACTTTTCCCTCCACTGAACTGCATCTTGTTAGCTAGGGCCCAGTGCTCAAGTCTGTGAAATTTTATATCACTTTTGAAGTGAGATTTTTTTCCCCATTAGAGATATGCAAGTCTTTCTGTATGAGTTCAGGCATCCCCTGCCCAGATCAAGGTTTTATTTTTAAATAAATTTTAAAAATGCATTTTTTGTTGGGTTTCAGATTCTGTCGTAACAGGTATTTTAGGGTGGGAAGGAGAGGAAAAACAGATATGTTATACCAGCATTGCCCTATTTGTCTCTTAAGTCACCTTTGGTTTTCTTTATCAAAACCGTTTCCACCCATTTTGGTTAAGTGACATTGTCCTCTCTAGAATGGTTCAGGTAAGCTTCAAGGCACAATGTATTTGCATTGTGCATCAAGCAAAACACGTTTCCTCAATTTTTGAAGATTGGAACCACATCAGCTCTTTGATTCATACATCAGAAACCAGCAGTTTGGATTCAAAGGCAAAAGGAGAGTTGAAAGCATGTAAAGGTGTCCATGTAATACCAGCTTGCAACTTTTTGGAACAGCCTAGTCTTTTATCAAGAACATGCAGTTGTTTTGCACTCTTGGGAAGATATACATTAGGTTTAAGAATTTGCTGACATGTACCTCCTTCTTTGATACAAACTACCCCCTTTGAATTGAAATTTAATCTTTTGGCAAATAACCCCTCCCTCTGCATAATGCACAGTTCAGAAATGCTGTATGGACAGAGATAGATCAATTTTTCTTTCCATCTATCCTTTTTTGTTCTATTTTATCTGCCATCAATCAATTTAAATCTATTTACAATCCTAGACCAAACACAAGAAAAACACCTGCAATACAATGCTCATAGAAAATAACTTTTAAAATTGGGGGAAAATCTGTCATCTTCATTTACGTCGCAGGTTAATTTGGTAGATCTGATTTGTTCTAATGTAGGCATCTCTTTGTGATAGAAATGTGGGATGTTATATATACTATATTATAGTATTGCTGTGAATCATGAATAGCATGTTCTATAGCTCCAGACCAGATAGGGAAATAGAGTACTCTTTCAACACAAGTTACATTGCATTAAAAATGGTAGTAATTCATGAAGCCCACCAGTATCATTTAGATTTGGCCTACAATTTTTAATAAAAACCCAGTATGGTATTTATCAGAAAGGAAGTTGGCTCTGAATATAAAATGATATTTTCTTCCCATCATGAAGATGAATAAGAAACAAGGTTATTCTGAATGCTGCCTGGTTTCCCTGTCTTGTAAGTTAGTTACCAAAATGCATTTCATTCCCCTCCCCCATAGTATATTAACAAAGAAGTGTAGGGCAAGAACAAAAAAGCTTAATATTGATTAAATTAAATTAAATTAAATTACATGTCCTTACTCTGAGCTAACTTTAGTGGCTCTTATTACTAGATAAATATGCTTAGCTTCACGTATCCTCTGTATATGACGAAATGACAGGGAGGGGTAGGGTCAGCACGTTTGTCCTGACCTTGATGGTAACAATTTCATTCTTCTCCTGCTTCCCAGGAGACTACTGTTGCAAATGCTCCCACTTTACATTTATTCTGAACTTACTGGTTTTTGAATAGAGCAGTTTCCATTACTGCCTGTTCCATGCTACACCAGTTTGGTGCAGTGGTTAAGGTACTGGAAACCTGGAGACTGAGTTCTTGTCCCACCATATGCATGTTTTGTCAGTCCAGAATCCAGAACAGTTTTGGAAGTCCTAGATATTGCAACAGCAGAATTTTGAAGCTGCAAAATTCTCAGGGATCACTAGATAACAGCAAAGACATAACAAAATATCCTGACTCTTTGGTGCCATGTAATGATCACTGGAAAGGAATCATGTTCTCTCAACATCTATCCCAGTATTGAAAGAAATGGGTTGCTTTCTTTTCCTTTTTAGCAGCCTGATGCTGGGTGACTGCCAAAAAAAGCTATTTGCATTCTATCACACTGACTAACTGACCCTAGGAATCCCATTAATCCAAAATGTAAATTAAATTTATCATAATTACTCTTTAGTATACATAATAGAAAAAAAGTAATTATGAACAGAATCAAACTCATTCTCTTTCATCAAACAACAAATCTTCCTTTAACCCTTGAAGAAAGAAAACCTGTGGCAAGCACATCAAACAATTACAGACAAAATGTACCATTGACAGCATCAACATAGAATATTGCAACTGACCTTACAGGTTACCTAATCCACTTCTTTGTTCAAATTCACTACTAGCATCTGTAATACATGGTCATCCAACCTCTATAAGCACTTATGTTCAATAAACTGCACAAGAGCACAAACATAGTTAATGCATTTAAGCTTGGAGGCCAACCTCTATAGAATCTTTTATGCATTTGAGAATGTGTGCTGCAATCTCCACGTCCCTTAACAAAAAGGTACAAGAAACTGCAGCAATTCAGTGTAAAAGGATAAATAAGTGTAATTGATTGTGGCCACAACACTCTTCAGCTTCTAAATTTATAGAGAAAATATTGACAAAATACTTAAGTATAAAAGAGTGCAATGCAATGAAAATGCAATCTTAAATCTGGTCAAATAGAGAACTTTATATTTAAGAATACCTTGCTATCTATTTTATGCATGCTTTTTTTCCTATGGGGAAATTAACAGTCCTTCAATTTATTATTGATTATTCTGCAATGACTATGCGTTGGGCTCTTATTCCTTCTCTCCAAAATGTATACACAAACACTGAAAATTTAGCTACTTAAGATTTATTTTATAATCAAATGATTCTAAACTTCTGAAAGTATTAGGATTAAAAAATTGTATTCTCAATAAACAGAATGATCTGAAAATGGCAATTTGTTATCTGAAACAAGAACAAGAGCAACTGAAGTCCAGGATTACAGAATCTCCAGAGAAACTCACTAATTGCAGGGAACGAATGAAACAGACACAGCAGAAGATTAAAAAAGACAAGGTGAATCTTAATATTAAGGGAATTTTTGTTTTCTTTTATAATTTATCATAGTAATTACAATTGATAATAAAATCAATATTTGTCAGATTTGCCTCCCATAGCTTTAGCTTCTATGGATTCCTAAAATTAAGTTAAATTTATAAGAATATGCATTTTTCAAAATTAATTCAGTTGATTGTATCTTACATATTTGTAATAACGAAAGCCAGTGAAAAGATATCATTAGTGCAAAATTTGACAACTGTCTCAACTTGGTTCTAGCTTTTCTGTGTCTACAGAAATATTTAAATGCATGTCCTCACAGCTACTCAGTTGTACTTCAGGATTAGTATTGTTCCCAAACCATGGTTCCCAAAGTATTTAACTCTTCATCATTTGAACCAATTTATTTCCAGCTCAGATAAACTCATCGAAGGAACTGTTGTAAAGACAGGTTTGCAGCAGTAATGCCACAGGGATTACACAGCAGTCTGCTCTCTGTTGCCAAGATCTCTTATGTCCTGACTAAAAGTAAAAATATAGACAGGTATATAGATATTTCTTTTAGTTCAGAAATACACTTAGGTCCTTGCCTTCATCAATTGTTAGTTTCACCCTGATAGGCACCAGTAGAGCCTAATATAGTGCCAACTAGTTTGCCCACTTTTGATCAGCAGCAAATTTGCAGCTGATTTAATAACAAAATTTATAAGTCAAACAACTAAGACAAATATAATGCTCAGACTGAAGAATTTGCACACAAGATCTGGGAGAAATACAGAATAAGTGAAATCTTTCCTTGAGGCCAGGGTGTAGCCAATTCCAGTTAAAGTGGAAAATGGGTCGAGAGTCCTAGCTATAAAAATCAAGGCTAGAACTAGAAGGTGGGATGCCAGTGATAGGTATCTCTGGGAAAAACAAAGGCACTAACTGAGAAGAAAGTTGTTATATCATGGAGAAAAATAATGGCCTGTCCTGGAGGCAGACGTATATCTTGTGCAGCACAGAAATGTTAATGAACCTCTGTAGAGAAAAACTCAAAAAATGTTTTGGTATTTTTCCTTGATATTTATCTTGACCAAATTGAAAAAAAGGATTATAAAGTATCAATGATTGATATGTGAAATGTTATTTGGTATCTGAAAATTTATTATATCAAAAATAAGATAACCTGTAACATGGTAGAAAACATTAAATGACAAAATAAAAGATTGAAGAAAGGAATTGCTGACAGTTATAGTAGTTTGGAGGGATGTGGTGGCTCAGTGGCTAAGACACTGAGCTTGTTGATCAAAAGGTCGGCAGTTCAGTGGTTCAAATCCCTAGTGCCACGTAATGGGGTGAGCTCCCGTTACTTGTCCCAGCTTCTGCCAACCTAGCAGTTCAAAAGCACGTAAAAGATGCAAGTAGAAAAACAGAGACCACCTTTGGTGGGAAGGTAACAGTGTTCCGTGCACTTTTGGCTGGCCACATGACCACGGAGACTTCTTCGGACAGCGCTGGCTCTTCAGCTTTGAAACGGAGATGAGCACCGCCCCCTAGAGTCAGGAATGACTAGCAGATATGTGCGAGGGGAACCTTTACCTTTACCTAAGTAGTTTGGATTTGGAACACAAGACCGATTAGACGGTTTCATATGGCAATAGGTATATTATGAATGTTGCAGCTCCATCCGTACCAATCTCCTCAATTCTGATTTCTTTTATTATAAAGCAAGAAGTAATTGAGAAGTATGAATCTTACAGAGACTTGGTAGAAATGTTTCCATCGTGTCAACAGGAGGTCCAATTTTACGGGAAAAAAATGCAAACACAAGGAACAAATATGGATAAGCTTTCAAATATATTGGCCCAGGTTTGTGCTATTCAAATATAATATCTATCGAACTTGTTGATAAAATATTTTAAGGTACTCATTCTTAATAGAATATAGTCTGAAATTGTGGATTCAGCACAGCGTTAGCAGAGAGCTTATAAAGGAAACAGGACATTTTTTGCTTCCTTGTTTCAAAGTAAGCATGTACACGAACATACACACACACACGGAGAAATACATATTCTTTGCTGAAGTTTACCAAGTTCCTCTTCAAATTAGAGGGAAGTAAAGGAAACCCATTACCTAGTCCCTTTGTTCTCAATTTATATTAAATCTGAACTGAAAAAAAAATTTACTGCGGGAAATGGATTGGAAGACAAAATCATATTTAAGATACATTGCAGCAGAGTAAGATTTTGCCTGAGACCCCCAGTTTTACTAGCAGCAACTCATCAAAACTCTTAGCAAGGTAATAGATACTATTCCACAATGCATGAATTTTCATATTGCATAAATAGCTCATTTACCAATCTATTATGAGCAGAATAGCATATTTCTTTAAGAACCCATAATAGAACAACTCTAACAAACATTCGAAAAGCAGTCTTTGTAACCTTGGGGAAACAATAAGGAATATCTATATATACTCTAATTGTTTTTTCTTTGCAAGAATATTATGTAAATATTACACCTCTTTCAAAAGCATTTTTTCAAAATAAATTTGCTTACTAAATGTGGATTACTCAGAGGTTGCATTTATTTAGCTCTATAGCATTTGAAATAGTATTTTCGCTAATTAATGACATGTCTGCTACTTGCATTTTAAAACACTTGTTTTTCAGATCAGAACGTTAGAGGACCAGATTGAGAATAGCAAAAGTGGATTCAAGAATGCTAAGACGGAAGAAATGTCATTGAAGAGATTAGTCTCAGTTAAACGTGAAAAATTTGCTGCTGTTGAAATCAAACTTAAAAAGATATATGAGAATACTGAGCTGCAGAAACAGGCGATAACTGAGTATGAATACTGGAATTTAGATCATTGTTTAATTCTGCTTATTCTACCAGCACCTTTGATGCAATGCAAAATTAGCAATTTGAAGAAAACACACTAAAATATATTGCTTTCTGGTAAATAGGTATATTCTTGAAGACAAAACTTTCACTCTAGTTTGAACTTCATGCTGCTTTTCTCTCGTTTAGCTCCCTGAGAAAAGTAACAGTGGAATAACTTCATGACAACAACTTTAGTAAAAACTTTGCCATTCCTGTATCTTCCATAATTTCACTGTCATTTTTCTCATTATCCATCACTTCAAGGTCTGTTGGGAAATTGAGATTTGGATCCCAAAGGAATGTAAGCAAAATGGGAAATTATGCTTGATCCTAGACAGTTTTGTCATCAATAGAGACACATGACAATATTTACAACAAGGTAGTGCTGTATTCAGATAACATTCCTAAGAGATTAAAAAGCTATCCTGATACTTCAAGGAGTTGATCAGTAAGATGGATTTGTTATGCAGAAATGTTTGGTGGCATTCTCTTTTTTTCTTCACCCCACTATACAGAGTGAAGTAGAAGAAACTGCACCATTTTCCAGTCCTGTCTGCTTTTGAGAATTAGGGCTGGTTGATGTTTCCCAAATCCCTATCCCAAATTACATAGAAGGAATGGAACTTAGTAGGAATGCCTTCAACCATTAAGCAACAAACCATAACATCCCAGCTTTTTAATTTTTATGATATGATCCACTTTTTTCTGCATAAAAAGATTAATTAAATCTTGATTTGTGGATGATGCTTCTAAATAGTAAAAATATTTTCTAGATGTTGCAATAAATTTCAAGAGAAGAGAGGAGCTGTCTGTGAAAAACTGACAGCAACAGACACAGAAATAATGCAACTCAAAGGTGCCATTCAACAGCTCAGTGACAATGTTGGGAAAGAGAAGGTGAAAGAGAAGGTGAGTGAGTACAGCAGACATTCCTGCTGATGTGGCTTTTGTTAAAGTTCCTTCAGGCATGATGTTATCCAGCCTGCTAATGTCATCTGTAGCACGAAAGCTTTTATGTATAGGGCTGTATATTCCTTGGCTTTGCTCCCTGCAGACATTGAGACAGCGTGCTGATCCTTCCAAGTGGCCAGCTATCATCTGAATAACATTGGCCAGCCTTATCCGGGCATTCGTTTTCTGAGCACTTAACATAGCATAATACCCAAATGTGATTCAAACAGCACAGCAATAAAAAAAATCATTCAACAACTTATCCAGAAAGTCAGCACTATTGAATTCTGATACTACAGAGTATGTATATATTCCTATCATATACTATATGTGTATATGTATATATACATGGTTAAATATTCTGAGCCAATTCTATGGTGAAACTGATATTCTGGTTATAAGTATATAATTTCAGGTGGGAAATGTTTAAATGGAAATGGAAAATATTTTTGGTCAAATTGTTAGCAGTGTTATTAGAAATGAGCAACTACAGTACAATTTTCCATTTACAGATCAACTCCAGAATGATATGCCGCATAGTAATGGTTGGTGTTTTTAAGGTTTCATAATCCATCTACAGCCAGTCCTTAAATGGCTCTAGAACAAAGATAGAAAAAGTGTTGCACAAGACTTCATGTGGCACTAGCATTCCTGGAGGTACAGATAAAATAAATAGGCACAGTTCTTTTTGCATTTTTTATGTAGCTAGGAAAGTTTGAAGGGAGCAAGTATGTGGAGTATGACCTGCAATTGCTTAACAAACCCATTTTGCCACTTAAAACTCCTTGGCAACCCTCAGCCAAAATGTACCTTGAGTAGGGTTCACCTTGAGAAGTTATATGGATGAGAAGAGATTCTGAACACTTTCATCCCAAATATTTTTTAAAACAATAAAAGAGGTTTCATAGGTTTAGCAAATGTCTGTTCCTTGTATTTAATAATGACAAATAGATTAGATTAGATTAGATTAGATTAGATTAGATGTGTTGGAAGGGATCTTGTAGGTCATCTAGTCCAACCCCTGGCTCAAGCAGGAGACCCTACACCATTTCTGACAAATGGCACTCCAATCTCTTCTTCAAAAACCTCCAGTGATGAAGCTCCCACAATTTCTTTTTTTTTTTTGAAAAAAGTTTTTTTTTTTTTTAAAACAAAAACAAAAAACACATCTTTTCCAAAACGAAGCATTGATCTGGTCACAAATTAATACAAATCATTAACAAATCTTATTTTTCAATTAACACAACTTAATATTTTACTCAGTTATTTCCCAAAATTCTATCAATTTAACTATGCCATTGTCCCAAAAACCCATTACTTAAATCTTAAATCCTAACCAAATATCATTCCATTTTTCTTTCTTTTTGCTTAGATGGATATATTTTAACAATATAAATCATTACAGTTATTGTAAGCATTTAAAAAATATTTTAACTATTGCTCCCAATATAATCATCTTCATTACTTTGCTATTAATCCTAACACAATCATTTCATTTTTACTATTCCCAACATAAACATAATTTCCAGCATAATTTTATTTTTACTGTTGAACCCAGCGTTATCATCTGTTATTAAACCCAATTTATTCATTTCATTTTTACTGTTAATCTGAACATACTCCTCCTTATTTTAGCTGTCCTACCCAGCATAATAATTTTTATTTTTTGGCTGTTAATCCCAGCAGTCATTTTATTTTTACTGTTAAACCCAGCATCATTATCTTTCTCTTTGTTGTTACACCCATCATAGCCATTTCATTTTTACTGTTAGTCCCAGCAAAATCCTCTTTGTTTTGCTGTCCTACCCAGCATAATCATTTTTGTTTTTTGGCTGTTAAACACAGCATACTCATTTTCATTTTTTGGCTGTTAAACGCAGCATAATCATAGTTAATTTTACTATTAATCCCAGCATGGTCCTCTTTTGATTGTTTCCATCCATCTATACACTGTTTATTTCAATTAATCAAATTTGTCATTATCTTTTTTTTTATTATTGAAAAGTTTTACAGAAAAAAAGATTTCCCCCCCAATATTCCCCCCACCCTTTTCCCTCCCCGCATCCCACCCTCCCCCCCAGACTTCCCAGAGCAAAATACAAGGTATTTCAGTTAACAATCATAAGCTAAATTAACCTATCTATCCTTAGACTACTAAATCCCCCCCGAAACCTTAACTCCACTATAGATAACATAATACTTCTAATACTTAACATTCATTCATAAGCTATTTGATATTTTCTTGTCTGATACTTATTTTGAATATAATCAATCCATCTTCTCCATTCCGATACGTATCTTTCTTGTGTATAGTCCTTCAAATACGCTGAAATTTTCACCATTTCTGCTAAATTAGTTACTTTCAGTGTCCACTCTTCAATAGTAGGCAAAGAGTCCTTCTTCCAGTATTGCGCTACCAACAGCCTAGCTACTGATATTAAGTTCAAGATCAGTTTAGTCTCTAATACTGTACAATCTGTCGTTATACCCAATAGAAACAATTGAGGAGTAAATTTCAACCTTTTTTTCAGAATGTTCTGCATCACCCACCAAATTTTTATCCAAAATGCCTTGATTTTCTTACAAGTCCACCATATATGATAATAGGTTGCATCATCACATTCACATCTCCAACATTTAGCTTGCAAATTAGAGTACATACATGATAATTTTTTAGGATCTAAGTGCCATCTATAAAACATGTTATAAAAATTCTCTCTCAAATTTTGTGCTTGCGTAAATTTAATATTTCTAACCAAATCTTTTCCCATGTTTCCATCATCACTGGTTCTTGAAAGTTTTGTGCCCATTTTATCATACAATCCTTAACCAATTCCGTTTCTGAATCTATTTCCAATAAAGCGTTATACAACCTTTTAATATGCATCTGACTTTGATCTCTAATCTGTTTTACCAGGTTTTCCTCATTTTGCATGACACCAATTTTTTGATCTTCCCTCCATCTAGCTTGGTTTATACTGAAACCAAGTATAAATTATCCCTTCTTCTTTTAATACAGTGGTTCTCAACCTTCCTAATGCCGCGACCCTTTAATACAGTTCCTCATTTGTGGTGACCCCCAACCAGGGGTGGGTTCTAAATTTTTTACTACCAGTTCTGTGGGCGTGGCTTATTTTGTGGGTGTGGCTTGGAGGTCATGTGACTGGGTGGGCGTGGCTAGCTGGTCATGTGACCGGGTGGCCATGGCTATTGTGTATAGGGACTACTCAGAGGGCTGAAAAAAGTCATTTCTGACAGGTCCTCGCACTTTTTTTTTTTTATTGCAAAAGTTTTACAATTACATTTTCACCCCTTTTCTCCCCCACCCCCCCCAAACTTCCCACCCTCCCTAACCCTCCCTTTCCCCCAGACTTCCCTATAATATACTCATACTCATAAAGAACCCTAATATCACACTTATATATAAACTTGAACCCCTCCCTCCCCTGTATAATTTTTCTCTTTACCTCATTACATTAAAAAATTTCCAATACATTATTTTCAAATAAAAGCTATTTGATACTTTCTAGTTTGATATTTGTTCTGAACATATTCTATCCACTTTTTCCATTCCCATTCATAAGTCTCTTGTGAACAATCTTTTAAATATGCTGAAATCTTCGCCATCTCTGCAAAACTGGCCATCTTCAAAGTCCATTCCTCAATAGTGGGCAAAGCTTCATTCTTCCAGTATTTACCTATCAACAATCTTGCTGCTGTTATCATATACAATATCAATTTTGTTTCACCGAATGTAAAACCCTTAACTATACCCAATAAAAACAGTTGTGGAGAAAATTGTATTTTTTTCTTCAAAACATTCTGCATGACCCACCAAATTTTTATCCAAAAAGCCTTAACTTTCCTACAGGTCCACCAAACATGATAATACGTAGCATCCAAACATTCACATCTCCAACATTTTGGCTGAACATTAGGGTACATAAATGACAACTTTTTGGGATCTAAATGCCATCTATAAAACATTTTGTAGAAATTTTCCCTCAAATTCTGCGACTGTGTAAATTTAACATTCTGAACCCAAATTTTTTCCCATGTTTCCAGCATCACTGGTTCTTCAAAATTCTGTGCCCACTTAATCATACAGTCTTTAACTAATTCGGTTTCTGAATCTCTTTCTAGCAAAACATTATAAAGCCTTTTGATATGCATTGGACCTTTCTCTCTTATATGTCTAACCAATTCTTCCTCATGCAACATAATACCAGTTTTTTGGTCCTCTTTCCATCTCAATTGTAATTGATTATATTGTAGCCAAGTTAAATTAATCCCTTCGTCCAACAGTGTCTGCAATGTCTTCAGCTGCCATCTGCCCGCATCTGTAAAAAGAACCTCTTTATATAAAAACCCCCCGAGTGACATTATATTTGTATTCCACAAAGTATGACCAAGATCCAACCATAGCGGTATTTTATAATCCCATTTGAGTCAGTGCTTCTTCCAAACTCTCATCAAAGAATCTCTAAGTATATGACTTTTAAATACTTTATCTACTTTGTCGTCGTAAAATAAGTAAGCATGCCATCCAAATTCAAGATCAAAACTTTCTGCATTCAATATTCCAGTCTTTTTCCTTCCAAACCAATCACTTGTTAAAGTTAAAGCTGCTGCATCATAATATAGCTGTAGGTTTGGAAGTTTAAGACCTCCTCTTTCTGGAACATCTTGCATAATTTTCAATTTCACTCTCGGCTTCTTCTCGTTCCAGACAAACTTATTCACTCCAGATTGCCAAACTTTCAATTGTTTATCACTTTTAAGCACCGGAATCATTTGAAACAGGAAAAGAAATCTTGGCAAAATGTTCATCTTAACTGCTGCTATTCTTCCAAGTAGAGACAGCTGCAGTTTTTTCCAAGTCTCCATATCTTTCTGCACCTCTCGCCACAACACCTCATAGTTATTTTGAAACAATTTCATATTTGATTCTGCAACCT